GGGACTTTGGACCTGCCCCTGCCTCCCTAATGCAGACAAGCCTACCTCTGCTCCAGGTGAGGCAGGGGGCTGTGCTATTCTGGGAACTTCCAGCAACAGGGTAAAAGCTGTCCCTTTCCTCCACCCCAGCCTCTTCCAAACGCTGCTAACCACAAAACAAAGCCTCTCCCTGCTGCCCACTACAAGTTCCCCAGTTTCCCTGACTCCTTCTGCCTCGACGACCCCAGCCCTCCTCCCTTCCACTGATCGACCCAACACATCATGACTGCCAGGCCCGGGGGAGCAGCTCCATCACCAGGACCCCATCCTGGTCACTGCACGTAGGGGTCTGGCATGGAGGAGACACCCAATGCATGTGAGATCAACTGAATGAGTGAGAGATGTTGAAGCTGGCAGTGGGGATGGAGGGACGTGAGGATGATAAGGAAGGCCCTCCAGGACCTGTGACTCTTAAGACAGATGGACGCCTGAGCAGGTGTTCCCAGGTCAGATGCTGTGGGATCCAGGATGAAGAGACAGGCAAGGACATGAGCAGTGGGCCAGGTTTCCAGCAGCTTCTGCTACTGTTGGAGGACCTCAGGGCCAAGGGGCTGGAGAGCCAGAGAGCTAGAGAGCCGGCAGAACCCTGCCCTCCAGCCTCCTCCAGGAGCCCTGTAGGTACGAGAAACGGGGCCAAAGCAGCAGTTTCAGCAGCTGCATGTAGAAGGAAGAACTCAGAAAACCCTGACCCTGAACCTTCAGATACCCCTTCCCATCCATCATCGCGGAGTCTCGCACCTGCTCAGCCTGGCCCCTTCCCTCCCGTGCCCTGTAACTGGTGCTTGAATCGCCTCCTTGACCTCCCCTGAAACCTATCTCAGCTCCATCAGCTGAGTTTCTGGTCCCTGTTGCCACTCTCCCTCCTGTTGCTTTGGCGTTAGCCACTCCCCACACCCTCTTCTGTGGACTCCACAGCCTGCCTGTCAGTGGGAAGGAAGCCATTACAGCCCATAGTGCCCAGAACACGCCACGCTGCCCTCCTCTGCATCCCTGCCCACTGTGGCCAGGCCTCCCCTATGTGTGCCACATGCCTCCCACCTGGCCCTGAGCAGTTTTGTCCCCTGCCTGCATCAAAGCCCACACTCAGGGTGCCCTGGTCTCCCCCTCTTTTCTCTTCTTCTCTGTCATGGTCTCTCCTCCCCAATGCCTCGCTCCACTGAAGGAGTCCAAGGAACACCAGTGAGGTCCTGGGGTTCAGGGAAGGCTCCCCCCGCCAGCATCTCTGGTCCAGCGTTGCCACTGTCCCGGAGCCCCCTCCTACACAGGGCAGACTGGCTGTTAACAGGGAAGCTGCTTTGCTGCGCCTCCCCCACTGACCCCGTTCTGCCCTCTGGGGTCACACGGAACATGTCTAACTCATCTCCTGCAGCATCACGGCTCAACACGCACATTGTGAAACCAGACGATCAAGGTTCAGGACCTGGCTGTGTCATTAACCCGCGGTGGCTCTAGACAAATTCTTTCCCTTTCTTGGCCTCTACTCGCTCACCTGTAAAACGAACATTAGCACAGAACCTATCCTGTAAGAGTAATAGATTAAATGAGTCCCTAGATGTAAAGCTCTTAAAACAGCATCAGACATGTAATAAACACTCAGCAAATTATCTGGCGAGAGCTGTTCCGTGTCCTGTTTCATTCACGCTTTTTTCTTGGACTAACATCCTTTTAAAAACACCCTGTACAGAGCACGGGCTCCACATCCTTCCAACCCCTGTTTATTCTGCCCTTTAGTTTGCTTAACACCCGCTCTTACTCCAGTGTGAAGTGGAGTCACTGCTTCTCACGACCTCAGCGCTGTTCGTCTATTCGCATGGCGACGACCCATTAACTTTGCTGGAGCTGTGTCACCCAGCTGGCACAGGGCTGGTCCGTGGTCAGTGACAGTCCCGAGTCCCCTTGCACTTGATCCTCCTGGGCTTAGACCCTCACCTTCTACCTGTGTGGTCTTCAGGCTCCTGCCCTGTACCTGCACCTGCCCAGTGTGGCACACGGGCCCAGCATGCTCTGCTCTCTCATCCCCAGTCTTTAAGCACATCCTGGCAGCCTCCGTCCTCGAGGTGGATTGCATGAGCGGTGCTGGTTTCAGCCGACTGGCTCCAGGCCTGCGATGAATCTCTGCCTGACTTCTCATCGCCTGCGAGGCACTGACCCTTAGCACATCCCACTTCTGGGGTCTTATCTCAACCTGCCTGCTCCCGCCACCTGCCAGTGGCTGTGTGGAGGGTGGCCTGGCCTGTGGTGTTCTCAGTGTGTCTCACGGGGAGCAGTGGGTAAGCGAGCACGTGACACAGAGGAGCACCTTGCGGCGAAGCCACGGCAAGGGAGTCTGCCTCCTTGAACTTGAAGACACACTGGGACATCCTGTTCCTACAGATAGCGGTCCATGAGGGCTGGACAGTCTGACAGACGCCTGGCTGGGCAGGGGAGAAGTGAGCAGCTCTGACGCACCCTGCTTCCCCCCTCTCCAAACTCTTAGCTATTTTTTTCTGTATTTTCCTTCCTGTGTTGAAAGCGCTACAGGGCCTGGACCATGGTAGGGTTTCCTGGGGACATTCCAGAAATTCCTCCTCGGTTGTTTCTCTGGAGGAGGGTGGGGCCAGGCGCTGGCTGGTGGGTGACTGAATGGGAGCAGGAGCAGGGTGGGAAGATCAGGCACCTCATAGACATGTGGGTGGAAAGGAAGGGTGAGTTGCACTGAGTAGGAAGGGGGGGTGGGATACAGTGAGCTCATAGGAGCAGCCGAGAAAGGCCAAACAAAGAGGGAGGCAGGTCGGGACAAGCAAGGGCAGTCACGCCCCCAGTCTTGCCCTTGAACCCTCTGACTTGCTTCCACAGTGACTTGTACGCCAAGGCCAAGAGCGCTCGGCCAGCTCGGGTGTGTGGCTCGGGAAGACGCCAGGCAGCCCCCGTGTGCTGTGCAAGACGCAGAGCCCCGGGGAACATTGTGGGCATGAGGCTCCCCCAGAGTCTGGCTGGGTCAGCCCTTCTTGACTCAGTCCCCATCCATGCACTCAGCACGCACTCGCTCCTTCACTGGGGTCCGGGGGCTGGGGAGAGAGCAGGCTCCAGCCCCTGGCTGAACTCTGCGGCAAGTCTGGACCCGACATTCCCGCCCAGCCTCCATCCCTGGGCTCCTTCCCTGCTGCCTGCAGGAGCAAGGGTGCTAAACTGGGGGTCAGGGCAAGAGGCAACTTGTCCTGGATCTCTAGGCTCCACGGATCACCGTCCTTCTCTGGGGCTCAGTTTCCCCCCTGGGAATGATGAAGGTTTGGGGCAGGATGATCGCTGAGCAGTTTGGGGGACCTATCTTATGCGCGAGCCCTTGGCGAGGAGATTCATGGGGGAGGAAAGTGAAAAATACCAATCCAACAAGATCTTCCTGCAGGAGAACTTTCAGAGGAAGGGAGACAAACAGAGCCACATGAAGGACCCACAGCAGTCACGGGGGAGGGGGAAGGGCCCCCAGAACGCCGCCGCTGTGCCAGTGAGACTAAAGGGTTCACTAGGGGTGGAAGAACAGCAGGAGGAGCCCCAGGGGGCGGATTCTAAACCGTGATGCGACAAGGAGAGCTCAGGCTGGATGGCAACTCCCACCAGGCCCCTTGGCCCAATGTCCCTGCGCCACGCACAAGTTGCCCAGCTGGCTGGGCAAGGGAGAAGCCAGCCTCAGAGGTCCGAGCTGACCCATGTCCAGGAGAATTTGCCACTGTTGGATCTTAGTAGAATCTCAGAGTGCACCTCCTCCCCTCTTCCATGTTAGGCCAGCAAATTCAAGCAGTGTATTACCTACCCCCTCCCCACACGCTGCAAAGCCAAGCCAGGGCCCACAGCCTGCCCCAGGCAGAGTGGCCAGCATGGGGCAGTGATGTTAGGGCCCTCTCCAGAGAGCAAGGAAACCATCCAACAGCTCCAGTGTCCTGAGGGCCAGAGAAGCCCGGAATGTTCAGCCCCTCCACGTGACCCCAGGCAGGCTCTGCTCCCCTCCTGTGGGAGTAACTCAGCACAGGCACAACATGGAACCTCTGCTGGGGTCCCCTCCCAGCTACCCGCCTTCCACAGCCCCACACCAGCCTCCCCAGGCTCCAACAGGATTAGGAGGAAAGAGCTCCAGGGGTGAGGTCAACATCAAAAGGAGAGGTGTGAGGAGGTCTTGCCGGTGCTGCGAACCACAGGTGCTGGGACCACGGAGAGGTGGCGGCAGGGTAAGCCTGGGGAAGGGGGATTAGCTGGGACCGGAAAGAATGTGGCTGCTCTAATTCCACATAATGAACCAGACTGTGCTCCCTCTGCACCCAGAGCACTAGACAAGCAGGTACAAGCCGCTGGCTGCCCAGAGGCCTCCCGTGCTGCCAGACAGCCTGCTCCCTCCAGCTGGCAGAGGTGCCCAGGGAGGCTCAGGATAAGATGCCTGCTTCCTCCTGGCACTCAGGTCTGGGTGGAGAGGCAGGGAGGGAAGAGTCTGGCTGCAGGAAGAGGGAAGCCAGGCCTCTTATCTGAGCATCACAGACCAGCAGACAGCAGCAATACCGTGCATACTGGCCGCTTAGATTTGGGACGCTTCATTTGTACCAACCAGGATCTTTGTATGCGACAAAGACTTCTAACCAATGCAACCAGCTCTGCGAGTCCTAAGGAGGGATTCTTGATGCAGGCGATTGGTAATGCAGACAATCAAAGCATCAGTGCCACTTGATTTTGGAATTGAGGGATTTTCCCCCCTTAGGCCTTCCTAATTCCTTAAAGTTTGAATGATATCAAAACACGTTTGCCTTCCCCAGGCACTCATTGACTGGAGAAACAGCTAGAAGTGACCTTATAGAATTAACCCCTTCCTACCTCCCCGCTTCACCCTGCTCACCCCCCTGGAAAACCACGAGCTGCCCAGAGTCCAGTCTCCACCCCAGCTGCCTTCCCAGGAGAGGCGCTGAACAGCCCAGACACCCGAGCGCACAAACGCATACCTTTTTCAGTTTGCCGCTCTTGGTCCCCACGAACACCACGCTGTAGCCGTTGTACACGTAGGCCGCCACGGAGGTCATGCGGTCCCGGCTGGTGGTGTACAGCGTGAGGCCTTCCACTGGAGTCGAGCCCCCCAGCGGCTGGTTGATGTCCAGTCCACAGAAGTTATCATCGATGGGGACAGGCTGGAGGGAAGATGAGGGGACTGGGGTGAACGGCAGTGGAAGCAGGCTGGGGTCACTCCACAGCCCTCTGCCCCATACCCCCCAGCCCGAGGACACCAAACCTCAGAGAGCCACAGCTATGGGGACCAGGGTCCAAGCTGGGCTGCATAGAAGGCTCTGCCCTGGCTGGTCCACACATCCCACACCGGCTCCCGGGAAACCAGATACAGGAATGAGCGTATTCTCCCACTGCCCGGGAGTCACCTGCCTCCAACACTCTGCCAGCACAGCCAGGCTCCATTTGCAAAGTGGACTGCTGAGCCTCATTTTCTAGCTGTTTCAATGTCCCTGTGGACCATGCCATTTTGTGGGGCATTTTTCTTTCTTTCTTTTTTTTTAAGATTTATGTATTTATTTGAAAGAGTTATGGGGTAGGAGTTCTTTTTCTTTTTTTAAAAAAGCTTTATGTATTTATTTGAAAAGTCAGAGTTATAGAGAGAGGGGTGAGACACACACACACACACACACACAGAGAGAGAGAGAGAGAGAGAGAGAGAGAGAGAGAGAGAATATCTTGCATTTGCTGGCTTACTCCCCAGATGGTCACAACAGCCAGTCTAGCTAGGCCAGGCCAAAGCCAAAAGCCAGGAGCTTCATCTGGGTCTCCCACACAGGTAGCAGGGGACCAGGAATTTGGGCCACCTTCTGCTGCTTTCCCAGGCCATTAGCAGGGAGCTGCATGGGAAGTGGAACAGCTGGGACACAAACCAGCACCCAGACGGGATGTCAGCATCAGAGGTACTGGCTTTCCCTGATCTACCACAGCACTGGCCCCTGCTGGGACATCCTTCTAATAGACAAAGTTTCCTTCAGAGGATATTTGGTGTAGAGGTGGCAGCCGTCACCTGGTTTCTGCCAGCCTCAAGAGGGCTTCTCGCTGGTTTCTTGAGCAGGCTTATGTTTCTAGAGTCTTCGGGATGCAATGAGTTTAAGTCATTCAACTATTTGCTATCTACCATTGGGGGGGCATGGAGTGCATGTCGTAATACCACAGAACAGTGCTGCATACTCGGCAGAAGCGAGTTAATCTACATAAGCCACGGTCTGGACTCATAGCTGCTACCTTTCTGATGGACACACGGTGGAGCAAATGAAATAATGCGTATAAAGAGCCTTGTTTAGCTGCACAGCTATTTCTACTATGACACGCGCTGTCTTCAGCTGTGTGTGGGTAAATTCCCTTAAAAGAGAATTCCCCCCGCCTCCCCCACCCCGCCCCAGGCTTTTGAAGGGTGCGGTGGTGTGCCTGAAGCAGGAGCCTCTGTGGGGAGAGGCCGGGGAACCTTCGAAGGGGGCGCATGTGGAGCAAGAGAGAAAGATGGTGGGCAGAAAGCAGGAAGACTGAATCCTGCCCTCCGCTCCGTCATTCAGTGGCTGTGTAAAGTAGTAGTACTCTCCTGGGAGGGCAGAGGTGGGGAGAGAGAGAGGGAGAGAGAGAGAGGAGTAAGGGAGGGCCGAAGGGAAGGAGGGAGGGGGGAGACCGGGGAGAAAGGCAGAGAAAGACTGCATGTCTCCTGAGGACAGGCCTGGTCCACACGGTGTCTCCGTGGAGCTGGGCTCCGAGACGCCCACGGTGGACTGCGCCACATGGAGTCTGGTGGCACAGGCTGCAGACTCTGGGCCAGAAAGAGCCAAGCCCTGGGCAGCCGTTCTCTTGGTCTGGAAAGGCGTCCCAGGGGAGGAAGGAAGCGGCTGTTGTGGGAAACTGAGAGCATTAGGGAGAAGCCTGAGGGCCCCGCCCTGCTTCCCTTTCAGCCCCGCTCCCTCCCGCTCCCCCCCCCCCCCCCACTCCCCACCAGAGAAGAGCAGGCTGGCACATCACTCACTGACAGCCCCACTGCCTTGGAATAAATGGTTTATAAGCTACAGCTTGCGTGTGTGTGTGTGTGTGTGTGTGTGTGTTTTAGACCAAGGACTTCCCTTCTATTCTCTTCTCTGTTTCAAAGGGCACGGAGTTTGCTGCTGCTCCTGCTGCCGGCAGGCGTGGTGGTGCTCCCTTGGCGTGCTTCTTCTTGAGGAATGGAAACCATTAGTTGAGGGTGACCCTTGAACCCTGGGTAACATGGAGCCCCATGCAGCAGGAAGCATGAGCCCCTCGGGAAAGCAGGGGCAGGGCCGTGCTGGAGCCAGCTCATGAAAGACAGCTGCGCACATCTCTGTATTCGGGGAGCTGACGCTGGTGCCTGGGACCAGCCAGGCTGAGAGGATTACACCACGGGAATGGGCGAATGCGGTGCCCGAGAGCCAGGGGCGGACTCCGGACCAACACATCATGGAGCCAGTGCGGGGAACTCCTAGCTCCTGGGAAGTGCAGGTCTCTTACTGGTCCTCACGTTTTCTCCTCCTCTTCCTCCTACCTACACCAGAGGCAGCACCACCTGGTGCCTGGGGAGCCAGGGGAGCCAGCATCAGTGCCCTCGCTACCACCAGCCAGCAGACGTCGCACCCGCACGCCCGCTCTGAGCCCAGTCTTCCTCTCTGCCGAGTGAGAGGGCTCGAGTCAGCTCAAGGGCCTTCATAGTCCCCCTCCCACTTTCTGCAGGGGCTTGCAGCCTGCAGAGCATGGCCACACGTGTCACCCCAGCCACCGTGAACATTTGCTCATTGCTCCCAGATTCTCGATTCTCCAGAACTGTAGAGAAATGGTTTGGTTGGAGCCCGAGGCCCTGGAATGGGCCGTTGTTTCTTCCTCTCCTCCGTGTCTTTCGCAGTACACCCTCGCAGGTCCCCATATACCTGATGCCCCATGCATTTGCTCCAACGGTGAGCACGGCTTCCCTCAAAGGCCCAGCCGCTCGACAGGAAGGGCTTGGACTCACACTTGCTCTGGGCTGAGTAGAATTCAGATCCCTGCTGTGTTGTTTATAGTCATATGGGCTTAAGCCATTTACTTTGCCTCTGTGAGCCTTTGCCTGTCCATCTGTTAAATGGGGTCCCGGTGAGGACCAGGTGAGACAATGTTCAAACAGCCAGCACAGCCCTTAGCAGGCACCTGCTATCCGAGAGTGACAGTCCCTTCCCCGTCCCTGGATCCCAGATTCCCAAGTCGGTGCTCGGGTCATGTTAGCATCACCTGCCGGGACCACAGCTTCTCTCATTGATCCTCAGTCCCCTTCAAGGACACAGAACGTCTCCGGGTCGCAGGGCTGGGATCCTTTGGATTCCATGGACCTCTAAGGACCCCTCCTCTTGTGGTCCCTGCTGCCAAAGCTGTACCAGGGAGTGTGGTGCCTCAGCGATGGAGGACAAGGGGCTGCTCCCTCTGCGGTCCGGGTCCCACCTGCTGTCACCTTTCTCCTAGTGCCTTTGCGGTCCCTTGGTCACTAGCCCGGGCTTGTCTCTCTGCACGGCCACGGGAGCAGAGAAGGGTGTCGTCTTCCTCTTTCCTCTGGCTCAGAGGCAGGCAGGAATCAGCAGTTTCCTCCCGACAAGAGCCCTCTGGGCTTTGGGAGCCTGGCTGCACTCTGCAAGGGGTTAACCCTTACATTTCCTCTCCACGAAGGCCACGGTCATAGAATTTCAGTGCACAGAAGGAACCTGGAGATTACCTAGTCCAATGTATTTTATAAAAGACATCGAAGAACATAGCTACTAGCTCTTTATGACTGCATTTAATTAATAATAACCATTGATGCCCATTTGCTGAATGTTTCTTATATGCCCCGAATTGTGCTAAGCATTCTACATAAACCTTCTATTTGATCCTCACAATAGCCATGCAAAGAGGGTAACACAACTTCCGTGTCAGAGATGAAAAAAATCACGGCTCAGAATAGGCACTTTACTTGCCCAAAGTCACACAGGAAGTAAGCAGGGGGCTGGTTTTCAGTCTGGATCTGTTGGACTTCAAGGCCCCTTATCCTAACCATTATGCCCCTGGACCAAGGACAGAAAGAGCCTGTGCGATCTGTCTTCTCACTGCAAGAGCAAGCATCCTCACTGTAGGGTCCTAGAAGGCGGCCGCGTGGCCTCGGGCTCCCGTTTCTCCCCCAGCTGCAGGTCCAGAGCCCACAGCACCTTGCACAGACTCACGCTCCAGAACTCGCCGGGTGTGTGCTGACCTCACCGTGTGGACTCCTCTGATCATCCCGCCACGGCTCCCATTTCTCAGCTGAGAAGATCGACCTGGGACCTGACTTCTGGAGCAGGGAGTAGCACGGACGCAATGAGAAGCCTGCTCTTTGTCCACAAACCCAAACTCTTAGCCGCTCCTTCAGCCGCCAGCAGTTTTTCTCTGTCCCCTGTGAGAGCTGTAACAGTAGTGACCCTGGTTTTCATGTTCGCATCTCCAGTGTCTGGTGCAGCGCCAGGCACTCAGATGAGCTTCAGTATGCACCTGCTAAGTGGATACAGGGGTGCGTGTGCAGATGAGGGAGGGGGAAGAGGTGGAGTGTGGCGAGCACCCCCCGGCAGCATCCCGCCCCTCTGACAGGTGCCGGCCATGGATTTTCTTATCTCTGCTGTCCTCGGGTCTGAGTCCTGAGCCCCCTTCCCCTCCTCTTTTCCGCTCACCCAGACTCCTGATCCTTCTCTGGTGTTTAATCTATCAGTCAAGCTTGACTTTCTGCCCTCTCGCCTGACTTAGCTCTCTGATACCTGCTCGACCCTTCCTTTGTCATCGGCGGGGCCTACACGTGCTTGCTCTGGTACCTGGCAGCTGTGACCGACCTCCCCTCCCCCTGCTCTTTCTCTCCCTTGCTGCTCTCCAACACCCCAGGGGTGCCCTGAGTCCTCTGCACCTGCCTCCCTCCCTCCCTCTCTCTGTCTCTCTCTCTCTCTGGGATGCTTTCCCCAGCCAGATCCTCATATGGCTCACTTTCTTCCCTTCCCGAGTCTACTCAAATCCCACTTTCTTGGTGAGTCAGCTCTCTCAGCTACTGCCTTGCCTGTGCCCTGCTTTCACGGTCCGTCTAGCAGGTACCGCCTTCTGACCCATTGTATTTTGTTCCTCTGTTTGACCTCACTAGCATCTAAGCTCCTGGAGAGTGAGAAAGGGACCTGCGCTCTATGCTTTGCCGCTAAAGCCTGCAGGTGCCTACGGTAGCGCCTACCGTGCCTCCGTCAGCCTGTCCCACCTCGGGCCCTGGGTCTGGGAGCAGGCGCGCAGAGGGCACGCACAGGGAAGCGCGCTCTGCACCACGCACGCAGCAGGGGCAGAGCCAGGGGCGCGCCGCTTACCGCCTTGGTGCACTGCACGTCTTTCCCCAGCAGCCAGTTGAGCTCCAGGTTGCCCTCACCCTGGTAGCAGGACTGCAGGCGCTCCTTGATCTGCAGGTTCACGGCCCGGATGGGGAAGGCACAGAGGGCGGAGTCGTCGGGTGGGTGGTGGTACTGCTTCTGGCCCTTGGAGAAGATGGCGAAGAGCACGTCGTCCTGGCTGCTGATGTTGAAGGCCCGGGCCAGCGTGTCCCCGGGCTTGGCGAGGTAAGCAGCCTGCAGCAGGCGGTACTCCACCCCGGCCCGCGTGCAGCCGAAGGGCAGCGACACGTACGAGTGGAACTTGGGGTCCTCCTTGCACAGCCGCACGATGCGCGAGGTGTAGAACAGGTCCCCGGCGGAGTTGATGGCCACGCCCTCGGGCGTCTCGGGCTGCACAGTGAGGAAGTAGACGAAGCCCCCGCTGGCGAAGCCGTAGATGTAGAAGATGTCGAAGTGGGACACCAGGGCCAGGGTGTCCGAGGGGATCTTGATGAGGGAGGAGACAAAATCGCTGTGGAGTTCGTAGTCGAGCATGGCCGAGGACTCGGGATCGCGGGGCAGCTTGCGGCTGGACAGCGTGGGGAAGTAGTCCTGCTTGCCGTCCACCGCCGTGCCGATGAACAGCTTGCCATCCTCGCCCTCGGAGCGCACGATCACGCCGTACATGGTGCCCGTCTTGTTCACACTCGACAGGTAGTGCTCCTTCTTGTGCGACGGCTCCACCAGGATGAAGAGGTCGTCCAGGCGCAGCAGCTTGCACACGCCCTGGTAGAGGCTGCCGCAGGCCAGCAGGCGGTTCTCCGAGTCGTCGATGATGAGCAGCTTGTTGACGTTGTTGGTGAGCGTGAGCACCTCGCTGCACGGCTGCACGATCAGCGGCGGGTAGCAGGACTTGTTGTCCTCCTCCGGCCCCGTCTTGTGAGCCACCTGGATGGTCAAGTTGCCTGTCAGCTTGTAGACGCGGTTGATGGCTCCCACGTACACTGCCCCCGTGCCCCGGTGCACAGTCAAGTGGTTGAAGGTCCAGTCCCGGTTCTCGGAGTGGAAGGTGCTGAACTGGGGCATGCCGGTGGCCGGGGGTGCCAGCAGCATCCACACCAAGGAGAGCAGGACCACTGGCCAGCTGTCCACCGACGGGACCGACGGGGCCCGCGGCCAGGGCCGCCTCTGCTCCATCCTGAGACGGCCGAGGGCCAGGCGACAGCTGCTCTGTGTTCTTGTCTACTCCTGCTTCCCGGCTTGGCTCTCACATGGTTCTGCAAAACACAAGGCAGCGTGGTCAGACTCAAAGCAGGCTCTGGGAGGACTGACCCCAGGCCCGGGCCCGGCTAGCTCTGGGACTCTCTGCTTTCTATCTTTCGGCCTTTCTATTTTTAGCAGACTTTCCCCCTCTTAGGGATGTTCAGGGAATCCTGTTATCTATTTCGGTCTCCAGCTTTTACGCTATAAAATGCTTTTTTTTTTTTTTAACTTTACAAAGCGTCTCTATTTCTGTCCTCTAAAGACGTGGTTTTTATCTCTCGGAGAGGTCAGAAGGCTGCTGAGGTTCACCCGGGCCATCACTCCGGCGTCAGGACGCCCGCCACCCCATCGCCCGTCTCATCTTGTACCCGTGTGTGAGGAAGGCCCTCCCCGCCTCCGGCGAGCAAAGCCGCGACTCCTTCCAGACTCCCAGCGCCTCACACTGCTGGCGCTCCCTTCCTTTCTCCTGCTGTCACCCGGAATGACAGTGCCCCCCACAGCCCCTTGGCCAGAGAGAAGCCTCTCTGCCCATTAGCTTGGGAATGTTCTAGAAAAGTGAAATGCACTATGGTCAGTAAGATTCCCACAGGTGCCATCAGCGGGGCTGGGAAGCCCGGGGAGTGGGAGAAGGTGGGGGGCGGGCAGCCAGCCCCCAGCCCTTGGACAGGTGCACACCCCACCACCACCCCCTCTTCTGTCTTGGGAAGCCCCCACTTTGCTGAGGGAGGGTGCACTTTCAGCCCACGGGGGTGGGAGTGCTGGGGGTGGGGAGCCGCCAGGGGGAGCACGGGTGGGCAAGTTGAGGGTCAGTCTCCTGCAGCTGCTGCTGGGCCCCCCGCTGGTTAAGCATCTGTGAAATCAACCCTGGGCCTTTGCCGGCCATTCCCGAAGTCCCCGGCTGGCCCTGACTGCTTTACTCTCCGGCCCTTCCTGACCCCGGGCTCTAGAGCTTTGCTGCTGCCGGGGGCTTGGTGCTCCCCATCTGTATCCCAGGGAACCACGTGGTGCTCCTGGGCAAGGCAGCCTGTCCTGACACCACAGCAGCGCTCTTCTGAACAGGGACTGGTGTGCTGGCAGCGCCAGGAAGAGGAGGCCGCAAGCCGTCCTGCACAGAAGCCTTTGCGGCAGCCGGGCGGGTCGTCCGCACCCTTCTCAGACAAGGCCAAGACAGAACTCCGGGCCCCGGGGGGCGGCGGCAATGGAAGCACAGGCGGGGAGGGCAGAGAAGTTGCCCCATGGCATCTGGGAGAAGCCTGCCTGTCCCCTTCCACTCCCCGCTCCGGCTGGGCAGGCTGTACGTAGCAGGGACGCTACCTCGAGGATCCCCCTCGTTTTCAAGGGTTTTAGAACCTCCCCATTGCTTCTGCTGCTCTCCGCGGCCTGGGCCACACAGCCGCCATGGTGCCAGGGCGGGTCCCCGGCCTCCCTCCTCCGACCGGACTCCGCCAGGGTGTCCGGGGTGACTCATGGGGCCCTGGCTTCCTTGGAAAGAGGAAAGCAACAGCCGGCACGGGGCGCAGCTGACCCCGGCGGCTCTGACACAGCCCTTCCGGCCCCACGCGCACACCGGCGAAGCTTCCCATCAGGCCCAGCTTTCGGTTTGCAAACCAGAGGTTATTTTTAGCTATGTCCTGAGGCCGGTAGCAGGACGTGAGTCCCTCAAGAGGAGCTGTGGAAAGGAAATAACAGAATCCTCAACTTCTCCAGCTGCCCGGGGGGGGTGGGGGCTGCGGGAAGCCACAGTGCTGCCTTGGCCACAGGGCCTGAGTGTGCGTCACAGGAGGAGGTGGGAGGAGGCAGGTGACTGTCACCACGCCCTGCTCAGGGCTTCGGATTTTAGAAAGCGCTCTCTGTGACACTCCTGCCTTCTCCACAGCATACATGCATATACATGTTTACCATGTGGGTAGGGACAGAGACCACATGCACGCACGGGACACCATGAGAGGCCAAGTTCAACACCTTAGCTCCCTGCCCAGCATCTTCCCGAGACAGTATGGACCAGGGGAGGTCTGTGGTAGGCAGATGTTCGGGGTTCTGGGATGCTCAAAGTGTCTCTCTTTTTTGGATAGAATGGGAGAATGCACAGGCACCATCTCTCAGGCTGTGCTGGGAGCCAATGAGACTGGGCAGGGCACCCGTGGCACGGCCGCCGGCACAGTGGGTGTTCACGGAAGTTCACTGTGATTATTATCACTTGGGGATTCCTGCCAGAGCTTCTGATTCATGTTTTTGCCTCTACGAGGGTACTTCCAAATGCTCATGAGAAAACAGCATCAGCGAGTAGGGCACTTGGCCTAACAGTTGAGGGGCTTCTTGGGATACCCACAATTACCCGCAATCCCAAGCCGGGGTTTCTGTACCGGCTCAACTTCCAGTCCCAGCTTCCTGCGGATGTGCGCCCTGGGAGGCAGCAAGTGATGGCTCAAGCTGTTTGATCCCTGCCGCCCTCCTGGGAGGCCCGGATTGAATTTGCGGCTCAAGTTTTGGCCTGGCTCAGCCCCAGCAGCTGTGGGCACTTAGGGAGTCAACCAGTGGATGGGAGCTCCCTCTGTCTCCATCTCCCTGCCTCTCAAATAAAAAAGGAATATGAAAGTTTATTTGGCTGCAAAAAAATGTGAAATCTGTGAAATTTTTAAATCAGAATATGCATTTGCTGTGATCTTTTGGAAGAGTAACCCCTAGCATTTTCTCTTTCTGTGGAATAAACCTTACAGGTGGATCTTTGATCCCTAGATGTCCCTGACTCAGAGACAAAGCTCAGTGCAGGAAGGCTTGGCAGGAGAAAGGGAATGGGTCCAAGGTGAGCGTCTCTATCACACTAGTGCACACGTCCTAGCGTGGCCTTTCCCAGACTGCAGGGAGGCTACTGCAAGGGTTGGATGAGAACGGGAGAACTGGCCTAACGGCTAGAAGGCATGAAGAGCGAGGGATGTATGAGCCCTGGGTTCAGACTCTGCCTGCGTCTCTCAAGAATTGTCACATGACTTGGGTCTAACATCTCCCCAAACCTGTGTCTTGATCGTCAAATAAAAGCTGTTTGAATTAGTCAATCTGTAAGCTTGCTTCTCCCCCATGGACAATCCTCCAAGGCCTGGTTCCTTCTGTTCCTGGAGTCTGTGGTTCTACAGCAACTGAGGGCCTTCTTCCCTCCCAGGGAGCCCACGGAGGCTAGGAGTCCTCCACGGAGCCCTGCAATCCTCCTGATCCCCTCCCCGCACTGTGTAGTACCCCAGGGTAGACTGCTCCTGGTGATCAGCTGGGTGAACTCACCCTACCGGTCCAGGGACCACTTGCCTGGGAGCCAACAGGAGGCATGCCCTGGCCTTCTGCAGTGAGGGGAGGGTTGCCCTCTGCCCTGGGGCATGGCCTTCACAGGACAGCAGACCTCAAGGGCAAGTTGAGGGGCCCCATCTTTCCATGCCAACACCACGGTTACCAAGGAGCTCTTCCAGAGCAGAGCTGTGGGCAAGGATCAGGCCTCCTCCTGTCTGAGCTCAGAGGAAGGGAGAAGGAGGCCCACTTTTGTGCTTCTGAGAGGCAGGGCAGTGTCATAGTTAAACATGAGCTCTGAACTTGGGGACTTGCACGCAGATGGGGCTGTAGCTGTGAATATTTGGTGGGGATATTGACCATTCACTGATGCCCTTTTACCATGCATAGACAATGAGTTTCATACAAACATCAACTTCAAAAGATGATGATGATGACATCAGTTAATACGAATAAAGGACTTAGAATAGCGCCTGGCTCATCTGAAGAGTTTGAGATATAATAGCCTTTATGGGGGTACTTCCAAAATTTTGGGGAGTGGCACGTGTCTGGCCTAGCCGTCAAGATGCCTGTGCCCCACACTTCCAACTCTGGATCCTGATTCCAGTTGCCTGCCAATGCACACCCTGGAAGGAAGCAGGTGATGGCTCAAGTAAGTAGGTCCCTGCTACCTTACATGGGAGACATGACTGAGTCCTTGGATTCCGGCTCTGATCCAATTACAGCCCAGACTCCACTGTTGTGGGCATTTGGGGAGTGAATCAGAGGATGGAAACACACTAGCTCGCTCGCTCGCTCTCTCCCTCTCTCTGTCTCTGTCTCTTCCTCCCAAATTAAAAAAAAAAAAAGTAGAAAATAAAATTAAAAGAAGTTTATTTTGGGGCAAGATTTTTTGAAATCCATGCATTTTTTTTTATATAGTACACATTTTCTCTGAACTTTTGGAAGACCTCTGTGTTGGGAGGAATTTATTGTGACAGTTCTGGCTTCTCGCCTCCAGCCACCCTATGATCTAAGAGTGACTTTTCTGGGGCCAGCAACATGGTGCGGCAGATTAAGCTGTTGCCTTCAATGCTTGCATCCCACATGGTTGCTGGTCTGAGTCCCGGTGCTCCACTTCAGATCCAGCCTCCTGCTAACGCACCTGGGAAAGCAATAGTACTGGGGCTCCTGCTCCCACACAGGGGACCCAGATGGAGCTCCAGGCTCCTGGCTTTAGTTTAGTCATGGAGGCCATTTGGGGAGGGAACCAGCAAACGGAAGAGCACTGTCTCTCCCTCTGTCACTCTGTTTTTCAAATAAATAAATCAACCTTGTGTTTTCTAAAAAAGTGAACTTTCCATCCCAGTTTGGTAGGAGTCAGGGCAGTGAATGTATGTCTATGACTTCATTACTTAGTGTTTCTCTCAGCCCCAATTTCCTCCTAGAGTTTTGTTTTTACGATGCCTCTTCTGAGGTAGGCAATGAACATATTAATTTCCAATCCAGGTTTTTGCCTCCCACAGAGACAGAAATACTAAGTGGAGGGTAATATTGTGTGAGATAGGAACAGAACTTACTTAAAACTGTTTTTTATTTACTTATTTGACAGGTAGAGTTAGACAGTGAGAGAGAAAGACAAAGAGAAAGGTCTTCCTTCCATTGGTTCACCCCCAAAATGGCCGCCACAGCTGGAGCTACGTCGATCCGAAGCCAGGAGCCAGGTACTTCCTACTGGTCTCCCATGAGGATGCAGGTGCCC